GATGCCCGAGATTTAAGAGTGTCATTTATGTCCACATCTAATTGTTAAAGGAAACACCCACAGTTCATATTAGGTATGTTACAGGGCTGGCATAGCCCTGAATTGCGCCAAAAATAATAAATCCATGCTGAACCGGCCGTCGCGCAGTTCCCCTAGTAAATGGGTCACTTTATCTGCTGCAAACAGCAGAGTGGATAAGGGAAAACATGCTACTGCTGGCTCCACACTTCTTTCTTCTTCCTCGGCACACACTATCCCCTAATCGGTTTCAACTAACCCACTACCTTCTCCAATCCAGGTCGTCACCACAAATATGGTCACCCCCTAACGCAATCGTATGATTATGCGCAAAACACTCAACATCGGGTGCTGGAACGTACGCACTTTGCTCGACCGGAACAACAGTGAGCGTCCCGACCAAAGCACTGCATTGGTTGCGATGGAACTCGCATGCTATGGGATCGACATTGCCACACTCAGCGAGACCCGGCTCACTGAGCAAGGTAAGTTGCATGAACCTGGTGCCCGCTATTCGTTCTACTGGGTAGGAAACGCCACATCAGCATCATGTAAACATGGGGTCAGATGTGCAATATCCGATCGTCTAAATGACGAGCTGGTGAGTGAGCCAACAGGCATCAGCGTACGACTGATGATCGTCCGCCTACGACTGGGACTACGTATGTTTGCCACATTTATAAGCACGTACGGTCCCCCCATGTTCTAGCCTGATGACACGAGTGATCAGTTCTACACTCAGTCATCTCCGTGTTACAGTTTGTCTCGACGAGCGACCAACTATTTCTGCCGGGTGATTTCGATGCGCGCGTTGAGCGCGGTATGCATGGAATGGGTTCAAAGATATGAACGGTGACAGGCTGTTCTCATTGTGTGCCACTTACGGCCTGACGATCACTGAGTGCGAGTGAGATAACAACTTGAACGCACCCACGGAGTGGTGACACTCACCTGCTCATCGTACGTCAGCGTGACATGCGTGAAGTGCGCACCAGACGTGTACTTCGTAGAGTGTTGTACTTACCACAAATGGTTGCGAACCAAACTGGACATCTACGTGCGGTGAAGTACGTATAGTGTAACTGCCGTGGACCGGAGGCGTAAATTTAACATTCTCTCGGTACTGTGGAGAAACGTAGTGAGCTGGAGAAGGCGATGGGTACATGCCTGTGTGGTGTGAAATGTACAGTAACCACAGTCTACAAACTGCGACACCACATTCGCGACCAGGTGAAGGCTGCTGCCGAGGAGACGATCGGGCGCGCAAACTGTAAGCGAGCATACTGTTGATGAAAACAATACGACGACTGGCGCATTGGTGTGTGAGAAGAATGCGGTATTGGCTACATATGTGGAAAACTCCAGTGACTTGGGAGGAAGAGTGAGTTTCGCATAAAATGACGGCGACTGACCTGAGAGCTCTGTCGCACTAAAAATGCAAGGTGAACGAAAAAGGCGAAGCAGATAGAAGGCTACGCCGCACGACGCGGACATAAGAAATTCTTTAATTCCGTGAAGGCGGTGTATGAAATCAGGATGGAGCCGCTGAAGATGCTGCACGAGGATATTTCAGGCGCTGCCTGCACACAGACTGTAGATGAGGCGAATACACTTTGACTGACTCTTACACAACCGTAGAGAGATTGTCTCGTCTAGATTGAATGGCCTGAAGTATCATGAAGTAAAGATGAGTGTGGGAGACATACCGACACCGGATGAGACGCAGAGAGCACATGCTCAGCTGCGAAACAGAAAGTCTGCCAGTGCCGATGGGCTGAAGTATTGAAACACGACGGACTCGTCTTGGTAAATGCGCTGCACCAGTTGTTGAAACGCGTGTAAATTAAGAGATGATTCCTGATTGGAAGGATGCACCAGCGCTCCCACTATTAAAGGCCAAAGGAATCAAACAATGATGAATGAACAATCGTGGCATCCTAACCTGTTGATTGTTTCTCTGAGCTTGATAAAGGGATTGCATACGTTTCGCCATCATCCGAAGTGGCATCTTCAGTGCGGTGAGATGAAATGGCTGAGCAAGTGGCATCCACTTGCTCAGCTCTGTGGAGAAAGTGATGGCCCGAATCCTGCTCAACCGACTCATCAGTCAGGTCGTTGAACCGTAGCGGAAGAGCAAAGTGGATATATATATATATATATATATATATATATATATATATATATTGTTTGACGCTAGTCAGTTGCAGAAGTGCAGAAACCGAGACCAGCTGTTGCAATCACTGTTGTTAATTTCACCTAAGCATTTGATACGGCGAATCGCGAGGCATCGTGGCTGGTGGTGGATAAGTTTCGTTTTTCGAGTAAGTTTAATTGTATGTAATTGATGTCAGTTTAAGTAATGTCTGCACAGTGATACACAGGCTAGGGTGCAGCTGAGTGGACAGACCTCGGATGACTTTGCAGTTGTCTCTGGTGTGAAGCAATGCTATGTCTTAACTCCTGCCCTGCTTAATATTTACCTTCATGCCATGATGTCGTATGCGTTTAATGCGGCTTGTGCTTGCGGTGTTCGTGTGGAGCACCGTATTGATGGTGGGTTGCTGAACATCCGTCGTTTCGGTGCGAGAAGCCTAGTCCGTGAGACAACTATCCGTATGCTGCTGTTTGCTGACGACTGTGCGTTGTTTGCACAGAGCGTGGATAAGTTGCAGCACACGGCTATTGCTCTGGCTTCGACAGCGGCCGAATTCGGGCTCACCATCAACACAAGCAAAACTGTCTCTGTCTCTTTCAGCCTTCACCGGAGGTGCAATCTCCAATATTGCCGCAAATCAGCATTGGTGACGAAGTGTTGGAAACTACTTCCAGATTCTGTTACCTTGGGAATGTGTTTTCGACTAACCAGTAGATGCACAATGAGCGTATCCGCGTATCGAAGGCAGCGGCGACGTTCAGGAAGCTAGAGTACCGATAGGGGAACAGCCACCAACTTACCGTTGGCACGAAGCTGATGATCTACAAATCCATGGTGCTGTCCGTTTTTATATACGGCAGCGAAATGTGGACGATGTATCGACGAGAGGTGAGATATCTCGAGCGGTTTCATCAACAGTGTCTGTGACGTATTATGCGCATCGGTTGGTGCGACAGAGTTGTAGACACGGAAGTGTTGCGCCGAAGTGGAATGCATGCAGAGAACTGCATACTTTTGCTGAGACTCTTGACGTGGCACGGTCATATTCACCGTAAGGATTCCACACGGATACCGAAGCAGCTATTATATGGCTAACTGAGTGCAGGGAAACGGAACGTGGAAAAACCGAATTTACGTTACCAGGAAATGATCAAAGTGAGTCTTCAGGTTCTCTCATCCATCGCAGATATGGGAATCGAAGGCGATTGACGGCGTGCACGGAGCGATCTGAGCACGAAGGCCTTTGCCGAGGTTCAATAAAAATCCCTCGTGCATGCAGAGAAGAAGCGGCAAGTGCGGAAGTGACAACAGCCGATGGGGTGCACTTCATCGACGAGGAGCGTGTGATTCTGTAGCACATGCGGTCGCGAGTGCCAGAGTCAGGCAGGTCTAGTGAGCCACAAGCGAGGCCACTCAGGACCAGCATCGAAACGGCGACAGGTGCTGCTGTGAACGTAAGCAGAACCAGCGATGCGTTTGTAGGTACGCTGCATTCGATTTACTAACGGTGTGCATGCGTGCTGAGTCTCTTTACTTCAGGTGGTGAATTTTCTAGCTTGTCTTAATGCCTATTATGTTACCTCACTCTTATGTCCGCCTGAGCAAATGTCGAGTAAACGAATGGTGTATAACTTTGTTTTCTCCACCATTTTGCATATGTTTCTTGATTTGCTTATTTGCCATCTTCAATTTATCGCGGTTAGGTTGATAATACATTGGTATCATGCGCTAATTTGCGGCATATCCATATGGTGTTTTCGATCTATTTTATGGGTTGTGATTGGTTGTAGTTTGACATCCCCGGTGTGGCTGCGTTTGATGTGAACGCTGAAAACGTGCCTACCTGATTATAACCCACACTTCGTCTACACCGGCTCTAGGAAACGGTCGTTGCTGGAGGGGGCGGGGTGCACGGTCCTGGTGAGCGTGCTAGGCTTCAAGTGGTTACATGCATCAAGCGTGGAACAGAATACGGCGCACCACTGCCTCGTGTACGACTGGTGCGCGTGATTCCCAATTAAGATGAATAGGAATGCTGCTGCCGTGCATGTTGAAGGATTGTGGGCCGGCTCGGCTGATGAAACGTGGCTCCCATCCACATGCCTCCCGGTTCGGGTTTACACTAGATATGGGGTGTGTGGATGGGGCTGTGGGTGGTGCAGCGCAAGACATTACGAAGTAGAACCATGCGGACCATGATTTTATGTAAATCCTTACCAACAAAAGTAAAAATCTGGAGACAACAACAGGATGATATGTTCCCGAACTATCATTTGTATTTCAAGTGATTCGGGAACAATTGCTTCATCATCAAGCTATATTGCAATGCTGCGCAACTAGTAAACTGTTTGTCAAATACAGAGAGGTGCCGGAAGAAAAAGTAACACTTGAATCAATAAGTAGGTTCGCCAGTTCCACAACCTGACGATGTCCAAGGTCCATTTGAATTACTGGGGATCAATAACGATAGTCTGTTAAGTTTTCGCTGTTCACTGACCTCAGAATACATAAGATGGGTATTCTAATGATCGCTTAACATAACAAAAAGGTGCCTCTTATCTGAGGAGTTGGTTGTTTGGATGCAGAAGTTGCCAAATAACAGGGAATGCACTAAAAATGACCGGTGAGTGTGGAAAGTCTAGATCAGTCTGGGATAAAGATGGAACCGAATGACCTCTCGATGAGAAACGTTAGACAAAATGGAAGATATCAATGCCCGGAGGTGAGAAATGTATCACGAAGCAGGTGAAACCACATCGCCGGAAAAAGAATTAGTGAAAGCAATATAACGGTGAAAATTGATTCAAGTATGAAACGGTACACTTACTGTATCTGAGTGCAGGCCAATCAGAAGATAATTTCCATATTCGAGACATTTTTCTAAAAACGATAGATGACCAACATCTAACGCAACAGCGTATCGGGAAAAAGCAATTAAAGGAGCTATGATAATTGACCGTAAGAGCTAGTTATGGGGAAAACGTAGATGTAACATGATCATCGATGCGAAAAATCAGGAAACAGTCATTTTGAGTTGGCCGGATTGCGGCCTATATGCAGCATGCGTTTTGGTCCAAGCACCTCACCACTCATGTTGCTAGCTTTCTGACGGGACACAGACAACACCACCTTTCGGACGGAGTTAGTTATCCATGAACCTATTACTGCGGCCGGTGACCGAGTGGTTCGCGCGTTTGGTTTGCAACCACAAGGTCACCGGTTAGAATCCGCGTAGGAGTAGGCGTCCTCGCGGTATACCCATCCCGCGCGCGGCTGCTGGTGGTCGCGCGGCAGCAAAGCGCTGTTACGGCGTGTAGCTGACATATCATTATCATTTAAACGCCTAACTCCAAGCTAAAAATGAATGACTACCAACAGAATGGTTTCTTTATATTCTCGAGAAAGGAAAGTAAAATTAAAGTAAATCAATTCACATACCTAGATGAACGAATAAGCAGTAACAGGTGTGTGATTATTAAAGTGAGTCCACGTATTTCGAAAGCCAAGACCGATTCCCTAGATCTCCGACAACTATGGCTGCAGACAGGGATGCAATCGATTTAGTGAATATATATATATATATATATATATATATATATATATATATATATATATGTCCCATGCTAAGGCTGATGTTGTATTCTTGATGCTTCTTCACCGCAGTTGGGCTAAACCAACTGGCACTTAAACTAGGTCTTTTTCATCTAAATATGTTTTATTTCACTTTATTTGGTTTGTTCTGCCTACTGAATAATGTTCCATTAAGTGGCCACGTTGCTTACGCTAATTGCGCTTATCTTCGGCAACTTTGTTACGTTTGTAGCATTTTTAAGTAACTTGTGGACATTCTTTCCTTATCGCAGATTTGTTGCTAAGCAACTTGCTTCATATGCTAATTTAGCGAAGAGTTATGCTACTGTATGTGTGTGCATTATTGGATTAGTTTTATTTCATCTTGTCGCTTAAAATGAATGGCTGTTGCTTGATATCCCCGGTGTGGCTGCGCTTGATGTGCATGTTGACAAGGTGCCTACCTGTCTATTACACACTACGTCATCCATACTGGCTCTAGGAGATAGTTAGTCGTTGTTGAAGGAGACGGGGTGCACGGTCCTTGTGGCCGTGCTAGGCTCAAAGAGCGGTTCCATGCATTCAGTGTGGAGCGGACTACGGTCCAGCCACCGCCTTGTGTGCAATTGATTCCCAAAATACAGCGTGCTCGTGTTTGCCTGTGAAGGAGTGTGGGCCGGCTCCGTTGATGTAACGTGGCTCCCATCCACATGCCTCCCGGTCTTATTCCTTCCGGTTTATACCGGATATGGGGTGTGTGGTTGGAGCTGCGGGTGGTGCAGCGCAAGCCACCCATTGTCCCTCTGTCGGCGCAGGCGTCCTGTGGCTGGCCACAGTGACAGGCAAATCCGAAACCGGATGCCGCCAACCATATATATATATATATATATATATATATATATATATATATATATATATATATATATTACAGCCTGTGAATGTATATATATATATATATATATTCACAGGCTGTTAACAGACATTGTGCCATCAGAACCGTGGCAGAAGAAACAAAGGGTTGTACGTATACATCTACGGCGAAAGTTGCTTTTGGCAATGAAGAGGAATGAGAATTGGCATCTTCAGCCTGAGGCGAGTTCATGGTAATGGTTATTCATGGAGTATTGTTGGTGTGAGACGGTACCATCGTGTATGCAACGATGACGTGTGCATGCGAGTGCTAGGCGGTGACAGACAAGTTAGTTTCGTATTGCAACAAATATCCGTGCTGAAGAGCAGAACATAGTGATGGAGGTAACAAGCAAAACCAGTGACTGGAAGGCGCCTAGGGTGACCCAGCAGCCGAATCTTTGTTCCACGTAGACAAGTGGTACGTGCGACGCAGGCGTTTAAGAACACGTAGCAACAGGTTCATGGATAACTAACGCCGTTCAAAAAGCTGGTGTTATCTGGGTTCCGTCAGAAAGCTAGCAACATGGGAGGTGATGTGCTTTGAGAAAAACTGACTAAAATGTGCAAAAGGGAATTACCACTGTTTGCACGAACGAAGTATAGTGAGAAGAGGCAAATAACTGATAGACGATAATGGAATATCACGGGAAAATGCCCAAGTAATTCCGCTCCTAGAAGATACGGGATGTGAGCAAAGTGCTAGACTATACTTGTCCGCTAAAGTGATAAGTTGGAACCTTCAGAGAAATTCGTCGATTTTGATAGCAGTTGTCAGTTAGACAGGCAAAATTTATTGGCGCCTTTCCGAAGCCCAGATAGCTTTCGCTACTAAAAAGCAAACTTGGTGTTAGCAGGATTTTGGTCTGTTGTGATGCTCCCAGAAATATGTTGTAGATTCTATGCTGACTGTATGGATAACCTGCCTGAAGTCTGCTGTGCCGCCCCCAACCAGTTGAATCACGCAACGAAATGAGAAAGTCAAGACCAGCCGGACTGAGGGATTGCAATTCTGATTCTGCTTCTATTGCATAACAGGGTGCAGTAAATAGGCTGTAGGAAACCACTAACATAACGAAATTGGAGATGTTAATTACTATTAATTAACACAAATCCAATGGTTTATGGTCCAACTTGCCGTTGATTCCACACAGATTCGCATTTTGATCTTTACTCGATTTCGATCTCCAAATGTATATCGATCCACTTCTCGGATTGTGCGCTGGAGCAAAATGGCGCGCGACTTCCGTCATGGGTCCAGGTGCATTCTGATGACGTGTTTTCACACCCGATCAGTGCATCATGGTGACTGCAAGTTCGTTCCTTTTTGTGGACACTGGTCAAAACACATTAGGTCCCTCCTGGGTCCCAAAATATGTGGGTCACCGGTTGGAGAACTGTTCTCTCTAAGCGATAAAGCTGCCGGTCAACTATTGGTGTTTCAACGCCTTTCTGAAAAACTGCTATATACCTCTCTCGTAGGTGCTTAATGGCCACTGTTTTGGGGGTTGTTGGTTTGTGTACCTGGACAGTTGCACAGAGTTGCAGACCCTTGCACTTCGGTTCGCAGGAAATTTCTCTGTCTAGCGACAAAGAGCCTCTTGGTGCGCTTGATGCCTGTGGGATGCGGTAATCATCGCAGTGGGGGGGGGGTTGCTTCAGCACGCTTTGATTCACATTGTAGCCTCCATTAGCTGTGTGGCAGATCTGGAGTTCACATCTGGCGCTTGAATTCTCAACCTTTTTGGTGTCTAATCCCGAGTTGAGCTGCTTGTAACATTCACATGCACTGTGATCTGATGTGAGTTCTGGTTTCAGTTCACAAGCTGTTTGAATGTTGAACTTCTGTGTCAGCATATCTGTCAATTGCCGCCGTGATTCCTCAAACAATGACTACTAGACCTGAAGGAGCGTCTGTATTTGCGCCGAAGAGATGGCTATATACTAGAGTGACAGTGTTCGAGTGAAAGTCTCGACTATACGCAGTTGTGAGGCCTCGAACTGCCGCTGCTGTTGTAGCAAAATAGTTTTCAGCTCTTCTGCTGAGATCGCCATCTCGAGTAAGTTTACCTCCCGTCGCCAGAAATATGTTGCGGTGCCGCTGAATGTACGGCTAACCTGCTGCTACCGTGCATCTGAAGATCACTAGGAATGCGTTGTGGTTTCCGCTGGCAGTACGGATAATCTGCCTGAAATATGCTGTGTCGCCCCCAACCAGTTGAATCCCGCAAAGAAATGAGAACGCCAAGAACAGCCGGACCGAGGGATTCCAAATTCTTATTCTGTTTCTATTGCATGAGAACAGGGCGCAATAAATAGGTTGTAGGAAACCACTAACATAACGAAATTGGAGATGCTAATTAAAATTAGTTAATACGAACCAAACGGTTCGAGTTAACGGTCCGACTTGCCGTTGATCCTACATAAATTCGCATTTTGATTTTTACTCAAGTTCGACCTCTAATTGTAGATCGATCCAATGTTGCGCCCGCTTCTCGGCTTGTGCGCTGGCTCTCCGGAACAGGGCCCTACTCTAAAAAAAATTAGCATGCAATGTTACGAAACGGTCAGCGCTGCTCTATGATTGTGAAATATGGCTCGTCCATGCAGACGAAATTAAGGGATTATCTGTGATCACCGAAGCCTTTGAAGCAGCACTGTTGCACGATAACAACATTTTATTATTACTAATGACGTGCGCCGATGGAATTTTTAATCAGATGACCATTGCAGACCGTTGAGTCGCAAAAGTTCATCGCATTCGATTCAGCGCCTTAAATACGTAGCTCGCAGTACTGTTCATCGACCGCTACGACATGCTCCTTCAAGCGAGCTGAGGCTAGCTGGAGGCAACGACAAGACAGTAAATGCGCGGATTTGTCATAAAATGTCAGGGCATTAAATTCAAAACTGGTAGTGGTAAGACGATCCCCCTTCCGGACTAATGACTCAGGCATCACACTCAAATCCGGCTGGAGACGCCTTCAAAATCGGGGGAGACCGTTGACAGTAGCGCGTATCTTACACGAATGCTCTCCCCTGACTATTTCAGTTCATTAGTAAGTTGAGGCACTAGGAGTGGCACTGTTAGCAGAGGTGTACATAGAATTCTCGTTTAAACCTAGCGAAGTTGACATCCGAAACAAACATGATTAATACGAAGTGGAGCAAAGCAACCATGACACCAGTGATAATTATTTCAAGACAAGGATACGGAAGAGATCGAACGATCCCGGGGCGTATACCACCACATCGTCTTTGGTAGGCTCTCTTAGGCCATATGTACCGTCAGGAGCGGCGCAGAACTGGATAATCCGGAGGGTGTGGGGCATATAGGGCATGCCGCAGTTGGTCCAGCTAGGTTTTGTCGAACTTGCCGTCGCAGCAACTGCAGCGTAGGAAGAGGCGGTTTGTGTTGAGTTCTTGTCTTGATGGGAACCTAAAAGGTCTTTGCCCTATTAAACATAGGGATGAAAAATATAAAGCACAATGAGGATAATAAAAAATATGGAAAAGCAAACAGAAAATACGGTGGGATACCAGCAATTCACGGTAATGGAAAGCATAAAAATAAATCAAGCGCTATAGGTTCTAAGACACTGTGAAGATGAAAAAGAGATAAAAAAAAGTACAGCGGTATTGAGCAATGGTGATTTTCTACGCGTAAGTTGGATGGAATCGGGTTCAATAACAAGAATGCAGATGCGTTGGCCTATGCTGACGACTTGGTACTGTTTGCGAACTCCGAATTAAATGTGCAGAATAAACTGCAGTGTTTAGAATTAAAATTAAGCACGGCTGGTATGAAACTGAGCCCAGCCACGTATGGTTTTGGAATTAGAAAGTGGGCTTCCAAGTACCGTGTTTTTTCCTAGGACCTAAAAGCTAATGGTATGATGATTCTTTGAGTGTGATAGATGAGATAAAATATATTGATTCGTTTCATTTGGAGGGGCAGACGTAAAGTGAAGAGCACCTCGAGGATTGGTTTCATGTTGTCTTAGATCAAGACTGCACCGTCGAAACCGCATCAGCGGATTGAACCGTTGATTCCTCACGCAATACCAGAACTGGTTTTCGAGTTGACCGTTGGTAATGTCAACCGAAACACCTTAATCAGCATGTACTGAATTGTTCGTGGGGCGATCGACGCTGGCTTCGTCTCCGAAATGACATGACCACTGCACATTCCCATTCTGGAAAAGTAAGAGGAGGACTTGGCGTTCAATATTTTGCTGCTGAGACAACCTTCACTCAAAAATATGAATTCACCGGTTGACGAATTCAAGCCGTTGGCTCTGACTATCATCTGCGGTAGGCGTTCGAAACGCTAATCTGCTTGTGAGGGTTGGTAAAGAAGTGATGCGCCGAACTTCCTGATGCCTGGCCACAGTCGTTGATGGGGTCGTCGGATTGTCGCTCAGTCCATCACGAGCTTCACGACAACAGGAGGGATATATGGCCCAAGCACCACGAGCATGTATTTCCGCGATTGCAAAAAAGGGCTATACAGTTGGTGGGCGATGTTCCGTTTACGGAGGTCTGCGGTAGCCGTGAGGCCACAAGAAGTCCAGCCGATACGCGCTGCAAGTGTGTCTGCAGGCATAGCAAATCCTGGGTTCACATAACGTCCGGTGCTCTCGCCATAATCGAATTGTGAATCGACTCGATAAAGTTGTGCGGCTGCGCGGCTTTCGTATCCTCATTAAGCCAATTATCTCTAAAGCCTCGAGGCATTGTAAGTCTGACCTGGCTATGTATACAAGCCAACAATTAATTGTGACTGTAGGCAGTTGCTGTGAAGGACCGGTTGAGCGGTGCATAGAACGAACATGGTTGCGAAGATTGCGTCAATTCCTTCATTCGAAAAACGATGAAGGATGGTCAGGAAGTTAGTCAGGACCTCCGAGCCTTCCACTTACCCGTGGTCATCTCGGAACGCAGGTACATGTTCAAGATATCCGTATATGGCTTGCGGTGCATGGGCTCAATTCACGGAGATATTTCTGGCCTATACCTTTTGGCTATTCAGGGCTCCCTGGTGTGTTATGATGCTTATCTGTGAGAAAGTTAACGCTCGTCTATCCATGCAGATGCACAGTGAAGCGCTGTATGGGTGGACAATGATTATCGAGGAGTCGGTGGATAGGGTACATTGGAGCGATTGCACCCTCAGTACAAGTTGAAGGATGGAAGACGACTGCTTCTTTGAAGCACTGAGTTCCCTGTATTAACTTGAAGACGCATGTTTCAAGAAGGTATGATTTCTACCATCTGTTAACCTGCAAACGAACAACATATCAAATAGTAACGTGACAAAAATGAGTAAGTTAAAATCGGAAGGTCACATGCAAAGGAAACAAAGATGACAACAAGTTGAGGACGTACCACGAACTGCAAGGGAGATTGAGCGTAACAAGCAATTGCTTCTGGATGGACAGTGTTGGACGATGCTTGTATATGGCTACCGCCTCGGCAAACTTAATGATTCTGGCGTCTGCGTTAGAACAGATGACGGTAAACGCCGAGTCGGGGCCAACCTGACGACCCGTCTGTGGTTGTCTTGTCATGGTGGCGATACGTTTTGGAATTTGCTCTCCAATCCGCTTACACAAGCAACGGTTTGTTCTGTCGAGGTAACTGCCCTCACATAAACAAATCGATAAATACAGCGTTGTGGCGGAGACCAGCTCAGTAGACTTGACTGGAGGCAGTAGAAGCTTCTTGGTGGAGCGGCCTTCAAAGTTGGCCGTGCTCTATAGTTCGTTCCAAAGATGTTAATAACACACGCTTATCAGCATTGCATCAAAACCATTTTGTTTGCACTTTTAAATAATTTTTCCGCAACCAGGGACATGATTGTTTAGACTCGCGATACCTTGAAATGTTTACGTGTTTTCACACAAATGAATTGGGTGCTTTTTCCTGAGCAGGCAATACGAAACAAAATAAAAAGAATCATAGAGACAAAGGAATTCCACAGAAAAACACCGTGCAAAATGGAGGGTTGCACTTCGGAGGAAACATCTCGGGATTAAGAGCCTTCCTGTTTTACTCGGTGCTACTATTCGATCAATACACGGGACCTCGAAAGTGTTACAGAATATCTCTCTTGGGCATCATTATGCTGCAGGAAACCTGGCTTCACGTTGATGTTGGGGATGCAGCTGCGGAACTCGATTGGATTTAGCTCTTTTCGTGTTGACCACTAATTTACACAGAGGAAGCACGGTGATGGCGTTATCACCTACATTAACACATTGTGGTGCAGGTCGCTTAAAAGCATTTTTTCAATATAATTCGTAACGCATCAGATGTCTAATCGTAAAATGCAAATCAAGATTGCTGAACGGTTATCGTTCGATCTTATTGGCTAATGTTGATATCTCACTCAACTGTCCAAGCTACGAAGCTGAAGAATTTCACGACGGATTTATGGCTGCAGTCTTCGAACACCTAGAACTCTCTTTGTGCATAGTTGCCCGCGATATTAACAGATCGGACACCAGCTTCATTGCGAGCCTCGGGCTCAAGAACATAGTTCAATCTCCAATCAGGTTACATGCAATGCTTGACATGGAATTTGTTAACAACTTGAATGTTTTCTGTTCATAATCGGACGCCGCTTGGTAGCGCTGATCATGCCATCGTGAAGTTATTTCCCGTTATCTATAGCAAGATGAACCATAAAAATCTCACCCGTTGCAAAGAAAGAAAGTGCAGGCACAGACAATGCCTTCTCCAGAACATTCAGCGACTGCGTGAATCTATTGCCTCCACCGAGTTTAGTTTATATTACGATGCGGATGTATCGAAGTATCATGAGCAGCTAACTAGTTATTTAAACTTCCGCCTCGACACCTGTCGTCCAGTTGAAACAACTGTTATCTGGGCCGATTGATTCTCGTCTCAATGTTTCAAACGACTGCGTAGGCTTAAAGAAAAGGTTTTTAAACGCAAAGACGCTACAGCAGCAAAGCCTCTATCGATTGATATAAAAGTCGAATTACATCCCCTCAACAATATCTATGTTCAAGCCATACTTGGAGATATCAATTAGTTTGAGGTACGAAAAATGCTAAAGCAGTTAAGCAGAGTCACCCGCCAGGCCACACATCCAACTCCGGATGAGGAGAAACTAAACCACAATTTTTGTGACAATGATAGCACTCCATTCTTTAATATATTCTCTGTCACATTACGGTTAGTATCAGATACCCATGTTTTTGTGGACAGCGTAGAAGCACAGAGGGAATTAATAGCGTTGCAGATGAACGAAGTACCTGGTCTGGATAAGCTATCTTCCGTCGTTCTCAAGGTGTGTGCAGATTACCTGGCAAGGGCTCTCCCAGACTTGTACACACTGTACTTCAAGCAGCACAAGAGAGTTGACAGTTGGCGAAGCGCAAGCATCACGACAGTGCTAAAGAAAGGGACCTACAAACATCGGTCGATCACTTGCACGTCGGTCGCTCTGAAGACCTTTAGGAGGCTTATTCTTGAAAGGATCACAGAACAGACACATTTGAATGACCTTCATCAGTTTGCATATTGCAGCTAAAGGTCCACCTTAGATGCCGTAGTATGTCTGGTACATACTGTGCTCTCGTCAGTGGATAATAAAAACAAGTCCAACCACATCTGCTTCCTGGATTTTAGCAACGCTTCCGGTGGTGTGAACCATGAACTACTGTTGAGCGATCTAATAGGTTCTGGAGTCAAAACTTCTGTTGAAAGATTAGTTCACCAGGTGCACCCAGTTTGGAAAATTAATGGGTAAAACCATTCTTCACTCACCACGAACTCTGGTGTTCTTCATGGAGCCATTTCCCCCTATTTTTATTTTCCACTTACGTTACCTCAATCCGTCACTGAAGAAGCCACCTTGCGAGCGACGTAATCTTTGGCGTATATCATCCAAGGAGAAATTCCTCGGCCAAACCAGAAACCCTATTTGGCAACCTCAAAGTTTGGTCTTACTGTTAACACCACAAAATGCAAAGATGTCCTTTTTCGCTGTACAAAGGAAATCACTACCAGCAAATTCTAACGCAGTGTCCGCAGCTTTGCATTGACGGTGAAGGTTTGACCTCTATCACTTCAGTAAAATACCCAGGAGTGACGCTGAGCAGTGGGCTCACGTGGTCTCTACATGTGAAAGGAACATTCGCTAGTAGAAGACTCGCATTCTATGTTACATATCTCAGATGTACTTCCGTACCCCGTTTTTCGATTCAGCGAATTATCACTGCATGCGTTTTGCCCTACTGGGCGAACTGCTCTCCAGTGATATTTCCTGATCCTCTGAGTAAGGACTTCAAAGTAACTGCCAGATCAGTGAAGCATCTATCCTGATATAGCGGCATTTCAAGGTTGGAATTTGCTAACATCACAATGTAGCCAGCCATATCAACTCCTGTAACAAGCTGTCATCTAAAATACTCACCCCCTCTACAGAGCGTTGTCTGAATGCGTATCAACGCCCTCGACCAGACAGAGCTAGAAAACAGTATACGCCTGCAGAAAGGCCTATGGTACCTCGGTAGTTCCTTGTTTGTCACGATTTTCAAACGATAAAAATTCATTAATTCAAGAAATGGGTGATAAATTAATCCGGTGATATTCGCTTGGTTTTATAACTATTCTCACGCATTATTTGTTTTCATTATTTATCCTTGTGCGTGGCGTGTGTGTGTTAGCGCTGAATGTTGACCCTTCAAAGGTGCATAAAGCATATTAATGACTTGGCTTGGTCGCCTAAAGGGCAGAATTTACCAGCATGGAGTGCACGTCGTATTGCAACAGCTATGGGTTGTTCTGCCTGTTTAGCCACAACATCACCGTTGAAGGGTAGCTGAAGATTAACAGGTATTTTTGTGCAGAAAATACGGCCAGCAGCCCACTTTTAGTAGGGCGGCTATGAAACCTAATAAAGGATTTTGGTAGCCATTTGTCTCTAGGGTTGGCGTGATGAATTGCAATCCACCTCAGATGCATTCCGTACTGCATATTCTGCGGGCCCGAATGACTAACGTTTTGATAAGGCAATGTTTATATTGAACCGGTGTACAATTTTGAAGCGTTCATACAAGCTTGTTCAAGTAGCTATCCGGTAAACGGTGCGCTGTATCGTGCTATCATTTCGCCTCGTCCATAGTTCATTAAAAATGACAGACGGTTATCATCCTCAAATTCACAGGTAAAGCGGACATTTGGGTGCGCAACATTCATAAAGCTGAGAAGTGACTGCGCTGCATCTAAGCATGATGCGATCATCAAGGTGTCGTCAATGTACCTCTTGTAGAGGCACATTCGACCGAGGTCTGGCTCACAGCGCGACTCGGCCATCGCCATGAAGATGTCCGCCAGCATAGCCACGCCATCTACCTGTCGATATGCCTATCCTCAGAACATAAAATGTATATTCTCTGCGCAGTAGCAACAAATGCTTGAGATACTCTACAGGAATCGGCACAAGCACTTTCGCTCTAGTGACGGAGCCACATAAGAAATACACTGTCACTCACAAAGGCACGTTAATAAACAAACACTGTAGTCCATGGAACACACCACCTTGTCCGCAACGTTAATTTCACGTATCTATTCAATCAACTCCAGGGTATCTTTTAAGGTGTGCTTCACTATCATCATTCTGGCTAACGTCAGTAGTTCAACTAGCCAAGGTGCTAGCTTTTGATACGGTGAATTATGCATGGATAAAATTTGTCTGAGTGGGATATTATCTTCATAAAACTTGGGTAGGCCAAATATCCGGGGGATGTCGGTACTGCATGTCACCTGTCGTATCATCCAATGAAGTGGTAATATTTTCAGATGCATGGTTACTCTCGACACAATTTGTGTTATGTTGGTCCCACTTTCGTCCACATGAAATTCTGACTTGTCTTTCAGGATCTTTCCCATCTTGTTTTTATACTCCGATTTATCCATGGTGACCACACTCCAATAAGTTTGTATGGCTACAAAACGATTGAACCTTCGGCTTTCAAATCACGCAGCGTTTTGAGGTGATTGCTATCCAAACAGCAGGACCGATGGATCGGAGCCATAATGAAACCACTTGCGATGTCAAGTAGTTTAACTTTGAGCCAGTTGTAGTCCTTTTGAGATGTTGGTATTAGCTTCGAGAGTTGATCAAGTAGGTTTTCAAATTGTTCCGCAACCTGAATGTCATTGACATTCTTCGGGGGGGCATTTTGAAGTGTATGCCTTCGAGTAGTTTCCGAGTCATTGAGATCAAATAGAAATTAGACATGTGTTCGTAAATCCCTAGGGAAAAGTATTTAATCTTTATCGTTTTTGAGAGATCTGCGTTGTTCCTCACGCAGTTTACAAAGGATCGTGTACTTGATTCAACAGACTAAAGACAGTTGATCAAAAATGGACGCGCGACATTCATGTGTTCTCAGCAATTGTGACAGCATTCGGTTGGCCTCCTCTTGGTATGAATTGGCAAGTCGTCTTAGGTTTATGAGAGCAGGCCTCACCTAGTTTCGGCGCAGCAAAGTACAAAACCGTCGGGACTGTTCAGCGCTCCGCTCACACTCACAGAGAAAACGAATACGCGTTTTCTCCGTGGTAATCTTACACTTTAGCGTTACCAGCCAACTAAGGACTTCATGCAGGAGTCCTAGTCTTATAAGTTTGAAGCGCTGAGTTCCCTACATGCATCTGTCTAAAGGGGGCGTGATAATCTGATATTTTTTGGATTTTTCCAAGCGATCAAAAATTCGGTTAGCAAATAAAAAACAAGTGAACACTAACAAGTGAGCCTGTGCACTGTTCCATGAAGTGGACGAGTAGGGGTTGCGAGGACGACTAACTGGATTACAAACGTATTATTGCTCCTTTGCTTGTCTTTTCATTTTTCACGCTTTGGAGCATTTTAGTTTTAATGGTCTTCCCCTGCCTTGGTGGATACAGAAAAGGTGTATGGTAAAACTAATGATGCACGCCCCCCCCAACAAAACAAAACAGGCAAAACAACAAGGTTCATGCTACAACTGAATGCGGAAAATGTCTGGACCGCAAGGAAAGAGCGCTATCTGGGTATTCGTAAGGTGTGGTCCCCGCTTATCTATTCGTGCTTGGTCTTATTGTTCTAGGTATGTACCAGCTAACCAGTTTGCTCAAAATATACCATTAACAGACGCTAAGTAACATTATCTCCGGTGCCACATTGGAGTGTCTGCTGAAAACGAATTGCCTTCGTTGTCTTGGTCACATGTTTCGCGTGCCTGCAAGTCGACCGCCTCGGTGTGTTTGCCAATACTGCGTAAGGTTGGATAAAACGAGGTGGAGAATCAGTGTCTCGGCAAAATAGCAAGGACCAACTCGTTAAAAAGATAAGTCGGGAACGTGCGTGTCGTCTAGCTGGGGATCGACTGCGCCAATGGTTGGACACATTATCGGTGTGGCGCGCACAATGGCGGTATTGTATTCCCTCCTCTACTTCGGAGTTTTGACAACTATAGTCCGACAACGAACGAGTATAGTTCTCTTTCCACAGTCAAAAAGTTTGCTTTGACATGACGTCTCTACATAAATCGCTGTGGTACGACCGATCGGCGTGCATAACAAGTGAAGAGGGAGAAAACGATAGTAGTACGGTAGGGAACTCACCTCTGGAGAATGGAGTAGATAAAGCCCAAAGGCGAGGATCGAGTCCATAGAGCGGGTCCGGCGGAGGATGCGTCTGTCTGAAAGGTATGGGGTAACCTGAGGTTTCTGGGATTTCTCCATGCGATCAAGGATTCTGTCAGCAAGTAAAAGAAGAAACACGTACGGGTGAGTTTGTGCACTGTTCCCTGAAGTCAATGAACAAGGATAACAGGACGATTAACTGGGTTACAAACGCCATATTTAAAAAGGGTATGATATCGTCGGTGCATAGCAGTAGGCACAGTCTCCTGTTGATATCGGTGACCGATACTCATTCGTATTCAACTAGGGTGCACGATAAGACACAAATGAATGCTACTGAGTGTGAGATTAATAGTGACGCGGGAGGACTTTAAAGAACGTGTTACGGAAGCATGGCCTCGGTGAATCAGCCGCTCAGAAGCAGATGAATAAGGCAGATTGAAATGCGCTGTTTGTGGCAACTAGAATAAAACGACTGCGTGAAGAAAGAAAAGTTTGTATAAGTCCGCCTCACATGTATGCACTTAGTGTATCAATAAAATTGCTCGAAATCATTTTACGTCGCTATAGAAATTCAAAGATCAGTACCAATCATTAAGATCACCTCGAACAGTTTGGTGAGTAGCTTACTAAATGAGCGGTGCCATGAAGACTATTATAGGATAGGATGCGCAGAGGTGACATACCTATACACGCTGATGACATCAATATGTTTGGCAATGAAACGATTAGAACTAGGTCGCCAGGATGGAAAAGTATACCGACACATGAACAGCTAAATAGCAAATCACAGCTGCAAGCAGATCGGGCAACCCATAGCCTGAGTTAAGTGGCCGCCATGGCGTGGTGCAAAGCATGCGGGATTCAAGAATGGATTTTTTGCCGTGAATCAAAAAAGCAACGTTTTAAACCAGAATGGCTATCCTTAAAGCATTTCATTTGATCCTTTCGAATCCAGTTACCAATAGTGAGCAGCCCCAAACAAATCGATGTGGCGGTAATTCAATCAGCGGCTTGATACCGCGAGGCCTCACTCGAAAGCGTTCCTGTGTTAAGCAAGTAACATTAGAAGATGCATGGCGTCGCTAAAGCACGTAAGGCACTTGAATTCATCATACCCAATGGGTATTAGGTGAGATCACTGCTGCAGCTCTTAAACGGGCGACCGACGAGACCAGACGTGACAAAACGGCCTTCTAGTGGCTCTAAATTGTGGGACCCGCAACCGCAATGAAACACAACCAAATGAGCTTCTTCTATCTAGAACCCTATATACTCAATGAATAAAACGACAGTGCACTTAGCATCAATACTGGTGCATATTCGCACAGTTTAGTGGTAAGCCTTTGGTGTTCACAAGAAAAAGTTGAGCAGTCGACATATAGTTAACCATGTCCGATAGGACTGAGGATCATAGTCAAATTTCGTGTACCAAGCGAAAAGAGTAATGATAAAAGAGACACCATGATCAGTTCAAGTGCGACAAAAATGGCACTCACCGGGATATCAATTCCGTGGTTGAAATGCCTTCAGTTCGCTTAAACTCTCTGGAAGGGATGAAAGATGGATGTGTCAAGTGGGGCGTGGAACGGTTAGACGGATACACAGCTACCAAACGTGTAAATCATAATCTCAAAACTCAGGACGGTATACAAATCGGCGTGCGTGTGATGCACTGCAAGTGAGAAGCAAATGCGAAAAACGCACGTGAGTGCACAAAGGTGACGGGCCAATCCGCGTAGATGCAAAAGAGAACGCAAAAGGGAACGTACTTGTAACGACCTGCAACTTTGAAAGGATGATACACATCGGAGCCGTCCGAGGCAGAAACGACGTCATCTGACACACAAAAGAAAAACAGAAAGAGCGTCATTAGCTACGCATCATCACCATTATGATCAGTACACGCTAGCTGAGCGTGAGAAACACACCACAACTAAGGTTCCGCGAAGCAAAAGATGAGAGACCGTAAAAACACTATAAAAATATGATGGTAAATACTATATTATGGATTTTGCAAAGAGATCTGAAATGGAGGGTGAACCTAAAGGGAGGGGGTGGACAAAGGAACTTACAACACAAACGCCATTGGGGCCGGCTCCTAGCCATATCTGCAAGTGTGTCCAACCAAACGTGTTCATCGTCCTTAGGACACCAGCCAGGTAGTCGGGATGCACCAACCGACACCAATTTCGAAGTGAGGGTTTCATTTCTCTCGACCAAGTCATCGCTTGGCCTCCCTCCTCCTCTTACAATCGCAACCCCGCCACGCAAACTATGCACGTCGCGGGAGTCAGTGTGCTGCCATGCGCAACACGTGGCCTAGCCATCGGAGTCTGGTGCATGATATAATGGTGCTAAGCGGTTCACTCGCTCTTCCTGCACCAAATACGCGACGTCGAACAAGATCATTGCTCACGCGGTGCACCCATCAGACATGAGCTAGGCTGCGAAGGCAGCGATGATCGAATGTGACGAGCCTCTTTATGTCTGTCGACCAGGTTTCACAACGATATAAGAGAGTTGAACGGACGGCTGCTTTATAAACTCTACCCTTCAGGGCGAGAGTAATGTCGCGTTTGCGCCACATGTGGCGGAGATTGGTAAAACCTCCTCGAACTTTTACTATACGGGCGTTAATATAGCTGCCCAGGTACTTGAATTCCTGAACGACTTCTAGCTGATCACCACAAAGCGTTAGCGCAGGGGTGGGTCCCTGCCAATCTTGGAGAAGTATTTTGCATTTCGATGGAGCAAAGCATAGCTAAACACGATTGACAACCAGTGCTAATCGGTACAGTGCTGCTTGACATGTTTAGGAGCTGTCAATATCGTCCACGTACTCCAAGTCAAGAAGTCGCTCACCAGGAAGTAGCTCCACACCTTCTAAGTCGTGTCCAACGAACGCTGTTTCCATGGCTTCAGCAATAGCGAAGTCGAAGAGGAAAGGTGACAGCGGGCATCCTTGTCTCACAGCGCTGGTGATACTGAAGGGTGGCGACAGTCTGCCATAAACCCTAACTCTGTCCGAAATATGCGCGCACAGCGCTTTGGTAATGTTTACGTATTTAACAGGCACACGTTTCTCAGCAGACAGTCCCATAAGGCACATCGACCAAATGAGTCGAAGGCAGGTTTTATGTCAAGAAACACGACAACGGTTGGTCGCCAATAAACATGGCGGCGCTCCAACACTTGACGCAAGGTGAAGGTTTGGTCGATGCCGCCCGACCTCGACGAAACCTGGCTTTCACGAGTGCCAGTCAGTCTGTGGAGAATGACAGACGCAAGCAATTTAGAGGCAATTGAGATCAGACTAATCCCTCTATGACTGCCGCATCTCGAACGGGAGCCTCCATTAAAAATTGGGACAATGACAGAGCGGTTCCAGTCTGTCGGGACAAAGTTTCACTGGCAACTCGTGTAAATCGTCTACTAGAGAAGGTCCACAGAATATGAAGAGAGCGGGGGGAGTTCTATCTGCCCCTGAAGCCTTATGCAATTTCAACAGCCTGATCTCACGTTCGATCTCTGTGCGTGAGGATGGATTCAAGGAGAGGGCCTAGGAAGAAGGGCGCTTAATGCCCGAAAAAGAAGCGATAACTCAGATTGGTTAAATTGTTTTGCATTGTTCGGCCCAACGCTCCAAGAGTTTTGACAGGTGGTGAATCGGCTTCCCACTCCCGCCGCGTATGGTCTCGCTAACACCAGGTTTCCTGCTGCTTGGTTCCCATATCAGACGGAATAACTTACGATGATTACCAACGGTAGCGGCTGTTTCCATCTCCGAGGCACAATGAGACCACCAGACTTCGTGGTCTTTTTTCAGGCTAGCACGAAATTTTGCCCTGAGATTTTTGCGAATCTCATTGTATTCGCTTCCTGCCGGAATACCTCGGCAAGCATCCGTAAGTTCAAGAGACTGCGTAGAGACCCAATGTCCAATTTGACAATTTGATTCGCCACAAGAAGACATGCCTGCCGATAGTAACGTCTGACAAATATGCGACCAGTGATCTTCAACGGTGTTCAGTGGACGCGTACTCAGCCCGGATGTCAGTGCAGTTTGACACACATTCAGAACACCTGGCTTCGCCAGGTGGCATCGACGTTGCATGCGTCCACCAAAACGCACCCGGAGGTCGGCGCAAACAAGTGCGTAGTTAAAGTGCACGCTAGTGCTCCAAATCGAGCGAGTTTTGGACACAGCCACTTCAGCGGTAACTAAATGCGATATGATCGATTTGCGTTCATGGCTGGCCCGAGGCTGGTGGCCGCCAAGTCACGCTTCTGCGGGTGTTGTGTCGGAAGTTTGTGCTCGCGAAAAAGAGACGACTATCTTCACATAGCTGTAGCAATCACTCACCGTTATCATTAGTGGAGCCTACATCATGCTGGCCGCCCAGATGAAGCTCATCAGAGGACAATTTTCCGACTTGGGCGTTTGGATTGCCAGCCAACACCAGAGTAGCCGTGCTTCTTCTATGACAAAGGAGCTCGTGAAGTTGCTGATAGAAATCATCTTTCACCGAATCACTGCTACAGTTTGTAGGATCGTAGGCCACAATGACAAACAGGAACCGTTTGTTCCAGCGCGACTTCGTGGCTTGAAACGAACCAGCTAATCTAACGGCGCACATCCGACTGTTGACTGGGATCCAATCGATCAGAGCAGCTTCAGCCCCGGGATTCAAAATAACGCCGACGCCAGCTTGACCGGCATTTGAAGCTGCATCATCGCCAGAAATGCGCAATGAGAATGTGCTGCCAGTGTCGCATGTGGGGGATTGCAGGGTAACCACGGAGCTTGAAGCTTGCAGGCGAGTTTCTGTTAAACAGCAAATATCGATGGATAGGGTCACTAGTGTGCGGGCAAGTGATGCTTGTTGGCCAAACTGTAGCAAAGTGTACACGTTGAGGCAAGTCAGTCTTAACGAGACTCGAGCACTCCAAAGGGAAACGGATGAACTGACGTTGTCCGCTTGATTGAACATGGAGCTGTCGACTGGATTAGAGCGGCGCGCTGCGACTGTTTGTGAGCTGAAACTAGAAGACAAGCGACTATTGAAGCAAGGTGGGAGAGGGCCAAGAATTGGAGGATTAAAAAAGGGGGGATAAAAGTAAAGTTGGAGCGGGACGATAAGGATGAAAAAGCGCAAGAAGAGGGATAAGAAGACGGGAAGGTATGAGTTGTAGCATCGAAAACCCTGTCTACCCTGTTCGGTCCAGCAGATAAGGCGCCGTTTATTATCCTCTGCGACGATCAGAGCATCAAGAAATCCTTAAAAGAAAGGTTCATTGTATTGCGTGGTTAGAATGCTGTCAGGTTGCCCAGGCCTAGACAGGATGCTTGCACAAACAGAGTGCGACGATAATGAACAAATAACGTACCTAATCTACGACTGCGTCAAGTAAAATTATACCAAAAGATGAAACTAATATCAAAAAAGACTGTACGCTGATCGCTTCTAAAGCTTTACTACTACTGTACTCATCGAAACTTAACACAGGCCAGGACCAGAACCCAAAGCATGGAGAGTGCCCGCGGGCGTCTTTACAAAACAAATGAGCTTTGCGAGTAATGCCTAGTACGACGACTAGGTACTCACTGTTTGCCTTCGTAGTACCTGATGTGTACGAATGGGGGGATAAATTCAATTTAGACTGCGAGTCACCGGGACAGTGTTCGAGGTAAGGACAGCTAGAAATTTCTCGTTACCACCCATTTTTGTTGGCTTTTTATGCAGAGACATCTGGAGCATTGAATCTAAGCCAGGAAGTTGCAGGTTGCGTGTCGCTGTTAGACGCCCTCTGTACAACGGCATCACCAAACTCCGCAAATGATGGTTGGAATCCTGTTGGATTTTTCTAGTACGGCAATCCATATGCACAATGGATAATAGAAAACTTTAATAATGAGATCAACGACGGCTCATGTGCATTTCTGTTTGCAAATGGCTGTATCGCGTGATGTAAGATTTCGCGGCAAAAAGGAGACCAGTTACCACTCAACTGCTAAATCATACTTACAAGTGCAACGCCGCAGGTCTATTAGCGCCCGGATAGATGACCCGAATCCGGAGTAGATGAAGCACTCTATAATGTGGTGGCCTCTGCACTCCAACTGTTATCACGCGGTATCTAATGACACCCGGAACAAAAGGCATAAGGATGGTTCATGAGAATGCTGAGGAACCATTTGTGATGACGGAAACAGATGATATACTATCAAGGGCGAATAACATGATCGCAGCAAGGGCGAATAGGACGCAAGCACTCGGGCTTCATTGCACATTTTCCCCAGAGCAGCTAATCACGCCGCGCTAACAATGTAGAGGGGATTAAGTAATTGGTGTGCACATTAGTGCATGATTTACTGAGAATAAAGGCGGAGTTTCCCTAAATGGTATAGATACGTGCTGCAAAGAACAGTGTAAAGTACATGTAGGTATTTGAGCGCAATCATACGCGTCGCTCATCCTGTAGCATATTCGTTAATCTCCAGCTCTGTTCGCATTTAATTTACAGCAAGTCACAGGATGATTGATTATCTGCTAATTACGTTATAAAACACAGTAAACAGAACACATTTTCGCAGTCAGGTAATACGGGGGGATTATGGTAACCAACGAGGACCACAATGCAGAGAAAAAAACATCATGAGTAAGCCGGTGCGTCGCACCGACAATTAGCTGTCACGCGATGACGAAGGTGGACTCGTGGGCCATGTTCGTTGAAAATGTGGATTACCTCAAAGAAAACCGATTGCGTAAGTTAGCCGTATTCGATGACTATGAGCCGAGACAAAAGAAGGGGCAAATGAAATAGCTTCGCTCGTCCGGTAGCAGGCAAACTACAGCACCGAACGCCAGTCCGAACGCAGTTGAACCCTTCCAACTGGTCGTTAGCAGAAATCTCATGTAGGAGACAACAGTAAGGTGAGATGATGTACGGTAGGTAGTCACGCCCAATCAACTCAAAGAGAACAAGCAGCCAGACCGGACAATGAACTAGAATCGGTCGCAATGGAACAAGTTGCGGTGAGTAGATAAGCATAAAATACTTCGAAATGCTCCTAGTTGTGACCCTCCCCGTGGCGATACAGTCACATCAGTTGAGTTAGGACATTAGGCCGATAGGTGCTGTTGTACGCTACTGTTGCGTAGTTAAAGCTAAACTCAGGCACATTGGAAAATGGAAAATGCGAGGTTTCAGTGTTGATCTCTCCCGTCCCTGCATTGCACGACAGCCGGCTTCGTCCTGGTTTGGACTCATCAGATAGGGATAGTCTGAAGTGGGGGCGGAACTCGGCACATAGTGGTTGGCGGCTATGGCCATGATCACTAGAACATTGAACTCTGCGAACACAGCTTGACACAACGGTGAGGAGTTGATATTCGCGTTTTGGAGTACCCAGAGTGTGTCTTTGACTGTGACAAGAAATCACAACCGTGGCTTCGGTTGACCTCGAAGTCAGCCTGTGCCATTCCGATCGCTGGGACCGTATACGACTGAGGTAAAGGGTTTCGGTGTTGCTCTGTCCCATCCCGCCGAGCTCAATGGTCTAATGAGCATGGCGATAACAGATTCCCACTCCCAATCCATGTTATATCTATATTATGAGTTCGAACCAGGACGAAATCATCAGTCGTGAGTGCAAGGATGGGAGAGAGCAACGCCGGAACCTCCCACTTCGGTCGGGTATGGTCCCAGTGATCAAAATGGTACAGGCTGACTTTAAAGTCAACCGAAGCCATAATTGAGATTGCGTGTAGCAATCCAAGACACTAGGCGGGTACTCCAAAACCAGACTATCGACTATAAAGTGGTGAATGTTTTCATTCAACATTCTGACCAGCACAAATGAACAGTTTGGTTGGATCAGCTCGTTCAGGATGAAACATTGGTTCTGTTGCGATAAAGAGACGAAAAAGGATTATTTTCCCGTGGAACATAATAAATAACTGCCGTTTTACTTTTTCGGATTTGCCTTTCACTATGATTACAAGCAGCCACGGGACGCCAAGCATACGTAAAGACCATGGCTAAATTGCACTGCAGCACCCACAGCTCCATCCACACGCTCTCCATCAAATGAAGACAACGAAATGGGGAAGTTGTAGATAGGAGACACAATTGATTCGGAGCCGGTCCAAATGTATACAACATGAATATCATTTAAATGAAATAGGAAAAAACAGGCGTACCAGATGTACAAAAAGCGGTCGCTAGGACATAGCCTGTTGCACAGTGCGTAAAATTACTCTATAAGCCTAAGACTAGTACAAAGGTGTGTCACGTCTCCAACCATTGCAACGATGCTGGATCATGAAGTGATGCGATGATTTTCGTA